CGAGCCTCCAAGCAATTCAGACCCACGGCTGCATCTCCCCTGCCCTAAGCTCTGCCTGACCTTTTCCCAGCCGTTCCCCACGCCTGGAAGCTGGATAAAACCCAGCTCAGGGGCCAGGGACTGGCATCTGTGGTACCCGGGGGTGGCCCCGAGCTGCCTCCCGCATCCCCATCCCGTTGCTCGAGTCGCCCAGTCGCTCCCTCTCTTTGGAAAGCCTGGGATGGGAGAAGGGGAAATTAAAGGGGTTGGGTTTGTTGTTATTTTTCTCTGCACGAACGCTTATTCGGTGTGGAAATCAAAGGTTTAAAGTCACTTACACAGCTATTGCTTCCCATGCAGAACCAAATATACACCGTAGAAAATACTGTATTAACTACAATGCAGAGCAGCACTCGATATCTGCAGTGGTTCCACGTCAGCTTTGAATAGGTGACGAGGTTTGGAGCGCCTAGACATCGGTGAGCATTTTGGTGATGTTCACATAGTTTGTGTTAGCGAGGGTGCAATTGGCTGTCTTCAAGTTCTCCTCCCTAAAATCCTCGTTGCTGTTGTTGACGCCTTCCTGGATCTCCATGTAATCAGACTTACTAATAGTAGAGGCACTTCTGCTTTTCTTTAGGTCAGGGGAAGAGGGGATCTTTGGGCAGCTGGTTACTTGCAGATATTGAGCCTGCTCCTCTCCCTCCGTCTCCCGGTGGTAGAAGTAGTTGAAGTTAGACACTATGACGGGCACTGGTAAGGCAATGGTTAATACCCCAGCGATGGCACACAGGGACCCCACGATTTTGCCCCCGATGGTCGTGGGGACCATGTCTCCGTAGCCAACAGTTGTCATGGAAACCACGGCCCACCAGAAGGCGTCGGGGATGCTGGGGAACTGGGACTCGCTCTCGTCGGCCTCGGCGAAGTAGACGGCGCTGGAGAAGAGGATGACGCCGATGAAGAGGAAGAAGATGAGCAGGCCCAGCTCCCGCATGCTGGCCTTGAGGGTCTGACCCAGGAGGAGGGTCTGCCCCAGGATCTGCAGCCCCTTGGAGTGCCGGGAGAGCTTGAAGATGCGGAAGACCCTGACCAGCCGGATGACTCTGAGGATGGCCAAGGACATGGCTTGCTGGCCTTGCTGACCATCCTCGGGCTTCTCGGCCAGCTCTGTCCCTAGGGTGATGAAGTAGGGGATGATGGCGACGATGTCGATGATGTTCATGATGTTGGTAAAAAACCCAGCCTTGCTGGGGCAGGCGAAAAACCTCACCAAGAACTCGAAGGAGAACCAGATGATGCAGAGCGTCTCCACGATGAAGAAGGGGTCTGTGAAAGAGGTGGACTGCTGGTAGCCCATGCTGCTGTTGGAGTAGGGGGGATGGCTCAGCCCGCTGCCGTGCATTTCTTCGTTCTCATCCCGAAAAATGGGCAACGTCTCCAGGCAAAAGCTGACGATGGAGATTAAAATCACCATGACGGAGACGATAGCTATAATCCTGGCAGGGCCTGAGCTCTCGGGGTACTCAAAGAGCAACCACACTTGTCTCTGAAACTCGTTCTCGGGCAACGGCCTCTCCTCTTCTTTGATGTAGCCTTCATCCTCCCGAAACATCTCCATCGCTTCTTCCCCCAGTTCGTAGAAACGAATCTCTTCAGAGAAGATGTCCAAGGGCACGTTCACCGGCCTCCTCAACCTCCCCCCAGACTGGTAATAGTACAAAATCGCATCGAAACTGGGTCTGTTCCTGTCAAAGAAATACTCGTTCCGGAGCGGGTCGAAATACCTCATTCTTTTTTTAGGATCCCCTAGTAAGGTCTCTGGAAACTGGGCGAGCGTCTTGAGCTGCGTCTCGAAGCGCAGCCCCGAAATGTTGATGACCACCCTCTCGCAGCACTCATGGTCAGTCTCAGGGTTATACGTGTCCTGCGGGTGACCGGGAAGAGCTGCAGCTTCATCTGCAGGATCTCCAGTAGCAACTGTCATATTGGGCTTTAAAAGAAATCCTTATGCTAAACTCTTCCCAGTGCCCGGCGGTGGGATCGGGTTCAGGGCAGGGTAACTATCCTGCAGAAGGACAGGTACGTAGGTTTGGAAGAGTCTCATGAAAAGGCGAAGGGATGAGATCAAAAACAAAAAAAAAGAAGAGAAAAGAAAATTTTAAAAAAAAAAAAAAAAAAGGAAAGGAAATCGTCCCTGCTGAGAAAGAGAGAGATGAAATAAAGTTGGGGGGAGGAGAGCAGCTCCCTTCGCTAGCACGTCTAGCCCCTGCCTCGGGGGGGTTAATGTGCCTTCTCTGGGACAGAGTTCCACAACTCCCAACTAAACCATCAGGTGGAAGAGAGAAAACACCTGAGGAACCGTCACCTATTCCAGGCTGTCACCTATTCCAGGCTGTCACCTACTCCAAACCAGCAAGGGAAAAACCAGCCTCGGCAAACCCGAACTTTTTCTGGCTCAGAATAAAAATTCTAATTCAAAACAACAGCAAAAAGAAGGAATTTGGGAGGTGGGGGTGAGAAGGGGTAGGAAAGGAAGGGAGAAGAATAACCCGGTCCAGCCCTAGCGTGGCGAGGGGACCCCGCGGGGTGCCGGGGAGAGGCGGCGCGGGCTCAGCTCATTTCCAGGCATGCAGCTAAGGGTTAACGTCAAAGTGGGCGATCTCAGGCCACCAACCCTCCTAAGGGGCTCCGGTTTTAGGTTCCACACCTTCCCACTCCTCTTGCCCCGGCCGTGAGGTGGCAAGGTGACATGCTGCCCTCCCTGCTCGGAGCCGCCGGTGGACCACTGCAGTCCCCCTCCTCGACCGCTGGCGTCCCGGCTCCTGTCATCCTCTGCAAACCACCATGGCACACAGAAAACGAATCACATTACCTGGAGAAGCCAAATCTTAGTGTCTCTTAGTAACACCGATTATCTGACCCTGGGGAAATCCTAGAGAGAAAGAGAGGCTTCCAAGATCCCCATAATTTCCTCTCTCTTCAAAGTTAAAAATAATGGTGAGTCATCGCAGGAAAAGGAGAAGGGACATAAAAAAAGGGGTTAGATTCCCAGATGGTGGAAGTCAGGTCTTGGAATGGTTTGGACTGGAGAGAGAGAGAAAGAGAGACAGAGAGACAGAGAGACAGAGTCTTGCCGGGCGCCGTTGCGGATCCGCGCGTCAGGGCAGAGGAGCGTCTGGCTGGTGCCTTCGGTGCGCCGGGGAAAAGCTGCCGAGCTCAGCACAACCCGATGTCCCCAGTGTCCTCGGGAGGTGTGGCATCGCCTGCCAAAAACACCCAGAAGGTAACGAGCTGCCGGGGGGCTCGCGAGGAGCATCTGCAAAGCCCGGGCACCCC